GAGAGGAGGGGGCCTGAACCAGGGTGGGGGTGGGGCAGAGGAGAGGGGGGGGCCTGAACCAGGGTGGGGGTGGGGCAGAGGAGAGGGGGTGGCTTTTCTTGGAGAGACAAACCTCGATTGCAGATTGGCTATTTGGGTATGGGGTGAATGGAGAGCTGAGGATGATAAGATTTGAAACGTGGCCCACTGGCAAGATCGTGGGACCGTTGATAGTAATGGGGAAATTGGGAGCGGGGGAGGGTTTCATGGAAAAGCCAGTGAGTTCTGCTCTGGACAGGTTGAGTGTGAGATGCCAAGGAGACATCTGCCCTGAGACGTCCAGGAGGCATTTGAGAGGTGAGGCCGGAATTCAGGAGAGAGATTCCGGTTGAGCCGAGATGGGCTCTCAGTATTGAGATGAAAGGCGCCCGTGAGAGCTGACGAGATTGAGTGAGGTGGTCTGCGGGGAGTGGAGAGCCCAGAAGGGAGCTTGGGGGCACCCCCATCTAGGGAGCACAGCGATCTGGCCTCATCTGAAACAGGGGGAGATTGGACTCGGTGTCTGAGTCTAATCACCTTGGAGATGTAGGTGAACGGGCACTTTTGGGCCCGTCGTTCATTAGCCAAGAAAGGTCGCAGGTGGGAAGGAAGCTTGGCGACATCTAGGCCAACATCATCAGTTTGCAGGTGGATGATGCGGGTGCCCCTGGCACAGCACCTTGGAGCTCAGGTCCCTTGAGGCCCTGTACCCCCTGGCCTTTGTCATGCCCCATCACCACCCTGTGTACTTCCCACCCCCGGGATTCCACTTCTTGGATCCTTTCCTGTCCTTCCTTTGTCCCATAATCCCCAGGCTCTCTGTTCTGCCCTTCACATGTGAGGTTCCAAGTCAGGATCGCCGTTGGAGCAGTCCTGGTCTCCTCCAGCTTTCTAGTGCCCTGATCCCCACCTGGTGCACTCTTCTCTCAGAAGTGAGGGGCGCCAGAAGACTTGGGCTCCCCTAGCAAATGAGGGGGTGAAGCAGCATCGGCTGAGTCTCCTCTAGGGCTTTGTGAGGGTGATTTTAATGGGATTAGAGAGAGGCTAGGGGGCTTCCAGGCCGGGGCTCTGACTGCCTCACTTTGCCCCTGAGAAAATGGCAGAAATTCTCTTTCTAAAGGAAGACTTGAGTCTGCCCGTCATCCTCCATTGAGGCTAGGGGTGTCTGGGGGCAAGGCCTTTGCAGAAATGAGGGCTAAACAGGCCTGTTTTTTGAAGGGTAGCCCGGTGCCTTCATAATGTTTGGGGACCTGTTTGAAGAGGACTTTCCCTACATCCCAGAGAATCACCTCGAGAAAGGAAGGAAATCCAAGTGCACGGAGCCTGAGCCGCCACCCCCCCGGGGCATCACCAACCTGAGTGGCATCCAGAACCAGGGCGGGACTTGCTACCTCAACTCGCTGCTGCAGACTCTCCATTTCACCCCAGAATTCCGAGGTAGGCACCTTACAAACACGTTTATTCCCGTCATTCCGTCCCCATGGAAAGTCAGACAAGCGTCCCGTCAAGGACACTGTCCTCAGAGGATCTGGCTGCCAGTCCTGCCCAGGTGGCTTAGGGAAGGCCTCTCATCACCCTTGGCCTCAGTTTCCTCACCTGTAAAGTGAGGGGGTGGGTGTGATTGTCTCTGAGGCCCCTGCTGTCTTTCCATCCAGGATCCTGTTCCCAGGGACCATGCCTACATCTTTGGTGGTCTGTGCTGGGTCAGAATAACTCTCACATCTCATTGTTGAGTAAATTAGATGGGGCCTTCACTGTTAACATCAGTCAACTATTATAACATCTAAAGTAACCGAGGCAGGGGGTCATTGCTGTGGTGGCTGTGGTTAGGAGTGTTTTGGTAACCCCGAAACAAAAGAGAAAATTGAGGCTACCTCTCATGAGCTGATGATGGTCTCGGGTGGGAGGGGTCCCAGAGCTAGGAACTATCCAGACTGTAGCTGTAGCCAGGTGTCTCGTGGCTTGAACCCCCCGCGTGGCTCCTGGGTTGGCTGCTGCCCTCGGAGCCCCGCGGGGGCATCAGGGCAACGTTGAAGAGCGGCGTCAGGGCAGCGGACAAAGAGAAGTTGGAGCCAGCAGGAAGAGGATTTAGAGTTTAGGGTCATCACCAAACGACCAGAATGAGCCTGATCTGGACGGCGAAAGGCCTCCTTGTTAGCATCCGGCACTGCCCTCCCGGCTGCAGGTTTGCTCTCACTGGCTTTGACGTAAACTCAGGGAGAGCCTAAAAGAGCAGCGATGCCCCTGGAGCATGTATGCTGAAGCTGCTGTCACCGAGAGGCTTCCCTGGGGAGAGCGGGCAGCGCGGGGGCCCTTCTCCAGACCCCTTCTCAGCATCACGTTTTAAATGATAAATGCAACAAAGCAGAGTACGGAGGATGACAAAGGGAGCCCAGAGATGGGCAGAAATCACGAAGGGATTGTTTTCCCCATCCCTGGAACTGACCTGGACTCCTGGGCTGGCCCGCAGGGACGTGGGGCCCTGCTCTTCTTCTTTCTGGGGCTCCCCGCTGTACTCCACAGGGCACAGCCAGGGCAGCTATCCCCAAGTCCTTGGTAGGCAGGCCTTCTTGCCTCTCTCTCCACTTTCCCACCAGATGCTGCCATAGCGGTGCTGTGGGAGCTTGCACGCACATTACACACACACACACACACACACACACACACACGTAGGCACCCACCCACATTATACACACGTGCACACACACACTTGTACTCACACGCTCGTACTCACAATCGCACTCACACTCAGACACTTGCACGCACACTTACAACGCACACTTGCATGCACACATACATGCGTGCACACACACACTCACATGCACTTGTCCACACACCCATGTGTATACACACTTACACACATGGACACACGCACACACACACGTGTACTCCCACACTCGCACTCACAATTGCACTCGCACTCAGACACTTGCTCATGCACTTACATGCACTCACACATGCACACTTGCACACACCGACACATTCATATGCACTTGTTCACACACACGTTCACACTGATGCACACAATGCATATACACTTGCACACAGACACATGCGCACACGCACGGACACACGCACACAGTGCATACATGCTTGCACACGCGCACACGGACACATGCACACACATATGGATGCACCCACACACACTCGTGCACACACACGTACACACACACATATATGCATGTGCGTGCATGCACACACACTCAGAGCTTTACAGTTACAAAACCTACCTTTTCTCCTTGGTTTCTCACCATACAGTGAGGAGGGCAGTGATTTGAATCGCAGAGGCAGGGCTGCAGCCCCTCTCGGGAAGGTCTCCAGAGGCAGGCTCGGCGCTGCCCGTGGTCCTGAAGGCCGCTAGCTGGGGGAGGGAACGCTCCTCGTTGGAGAGCTTCGTTGATGCCGGAGGACTCCTCTGTTTGTGTATGGGCCAGTGGGGCCTCAGCAGTGATGGGAATCTCCTTGTTGGGTTAGGCTCTGGGAGGGAAAACAGTTTTCAGTTCCTGGGGCTCTCCAGGATAGAAGATTGAATCCATTTTCCTGAGCCTTCTTTTCTCTTCCTCCTCAGCCCCATTAATTCCAAAGGCAGCTGGGTGCCCCGGTGGATATGGTGTTGGCCCTGGAGTCAGGAAGACCTGAGTTCAAATCCAGCCTCAGGCAATTCCTGGCTGTGTGACCCTGAAGATAATGATCATTGCCTAACTCCCAGGGTGGTTGTGAGGATCAGATGAGGACGAGATGATATTGATAGTGCCCTTCACAAGCGTCGAAGCGCTACCCGCCTGCTAGCGGTTAGCATCGCCGTCTTCCGGAAAGGGAAGCCCGCTCTGACGCTCCCATGAGTAGCAGTGTTTGTTCTGACGGGTTCCAGCCGCGTCAGGGACAGACGCGGGCTCCATCCTGGGGGCTCGGGGCCAGGCAGAATAACCTGGTAGGAGAAGCTGGAGTCTCGCCGTTTCAGGGGTAGTGTCGCCGCTGCTCCGCTCCTGTGGGACTAGTCGTGGAAGCGGAAGGCCCGCGGCCTCCTAGATCTCGGGCCGTCTTGTGCGGCCCTCGTTTTACAGGGGACGAAACTGAGGGCCGAAGAGGGGCAGGGACTGCGGGTCGGGATTCTCGCCTGAGTCTTGGGAACCCCCCCTGCCGGGAGATGCTCTTGCACAAAGAGATTTGGGGGTGACAGATGAGAACTTAGCCCTTCAGGCTCCTGAAGGAGAGCTGTTCATCCCTGGGTCAGCTGCTCCCCTCGGAGACGGTCTGCATAGCCACCTCACTCTCTTATTCCTCTGTGTGTGTCCTCACTGCCTTTTCAGAGTGTTTTATTTTTGAAATTGTGTCTCCTTGCCACGCGGAGGCTGTGGCTGAGGAGATCTCTCCTCTCCCCCCCACCCCCCAACCCCTGTAGCCCTCCTGGGTCTTGAAGGTGGCTGAGGTTCTCCTTTGCCTTTTCTTTGCAGAAGCTTTGTTTGCTCTGGACCCAGAAGAGCTCGGATCCTTAGAGGACAAGGATGACCCCGATGCGAAGGTACCAGTCCGCCCTTGATTCCCTGAGCCTGCCAGGCAGAGCGCTTTGGAGGAGAGAAGGCGCTTATCCGAGCAGAGGACTGCCCGCTCCTTTTCTGAGCAGCCGGACTGATTTCCCGTCCTCCCCAGTGTCTGCCCTTCGCGAGAGCGAGCGCCGCACTGACCATCCCTAGACGACTCTTCTCAATTTAATCTGGCTACGCAGGCCCTGTCCTCCTTTCTTGTCCCAAGCACGGTATCTTCAGATCCTGTGTCTCCCAAATAGGAAAAATAAACGTGTCTGGCTTTGGCCTCATTGCCTGTCAGGGTGTCAAAGGCAAAGAGGCAGCTGATGACTTTCTCTTGCTTTTACATTAGCTCTCAGTGGGTTGGCAGTGGACCTGAGACAGACTCTGCGGCATTAATCTGAGGGGAACAAAGTGACGTCACCGAAGGGATTGGAATGAAAGGCCTCATTGGGCTTGGGAGGCCCGAGCGGCGATGCACCGGCGGCCCTGTGGCCGCTGCTCCCCCAGAGCCGATATTCAGAGCAGTTAAAGGAGAGAGCTCAGTGTCGCTGAACAGCCAGGGTTGGGTCCAAGACCCTGACGTTTCCTGAAGGCTTAGTGATCCTTGCCAATGAGCAGCCCGGACCCTGTTTGCTTTGTAAAAGCAGGCCCCTCCTAGGCTTCTCCCAAGGGCTTAGTTAGTGGAGAACCAGAAGGGACTTGGGATTAAATAGTCCAGCATAGAAGGCCTGGCCCAGCAGCACAGAATTTTAAAGCTGGAGGGGACTTTGGTCCCCCAGTCCAGCCTGGGTCCCCCCAGAGAAGCCCCTCTTTGACACACCCGTCAGGTGGCTGGTGAGAGGAGGAAGGCGCATTTAGGGAGCAGGTCACATGAAGACCACCTGGGGGGGTCTCAGGACTGCTGCAGGCCCATGGAGTCAGCATGGAACATGGCAGCCCTAAAGCTGCGCTCATTGTCGGCAGCGTCCAGGCTTTGGGAGGTGACAATCCGTACCCTGCTGTGGTTAGGTAGATTCACACTGAGGAAGGATGCTGACGGATTGAAGCATTGTCAGGAAGGGTGTGACTGCTGCTTCTGAGCGTCTCAGTGTCTCATGTGGGACTTAGCAGGCGAATGCAATCGAGATGTCAGCTCATGAAGGGCTTGTGTGCCCTGGGTGGGGCTGGCGCTCTGTCGACACCCAGTTCGGCCGTGTGTGGTATATACCCGCAGCTTTGAGCCTTCACTGCTACGTGTGTGTGCGTGTGTGTGCGCGCGCACGTGTGTGTGTGTGTGTGTCTTGGTTCATTGCAGAAGGGAGACCCCTGGGCCGGGGGAGTAGCCTTTATGGGCATGAAAATTAATCTTGTTCATAAAAAGTAATAAAAGGCATCTCACGTTATGTACGCCCTGATCCTGCCCTCACAGGCTGAGACCACATCTTGATGTTTACATCTCTGAGGCCAGCCGAGCGCATGGTTGTGCATTGTAGAGATGGGGGTAAGGGCTGTCCTGGGCCTTCGCCTTCCATGGGTAAAGGACGCTCCCTCTACGATGCAAATGGGCACCCGCTCTACAAATTATAGGCTTAGAAAGCTGCCCGCAGCCTTGAGACGTCACATGAGCTGCCAGCAGGTATCATAGGCAGGGCTGGACCTCAGCTCTTTCTGACCTTCTCTCCCTTTGGCCTGCCCATCGTAGGTCTCATTCCGGGGAGAGCACGGGGCCACAACGGCCAACTCCAGCACCGTCACTGACTCCCTTTTATGACTAAGGCCGTGGCGAGGCGTTGTGGTTACTGACTCAATGGAACTCTTCCCTCTCCTCCTCTAGGAGGGAGCCTGCCAGTTAGCCTAGTGGGAGCTGTGGGGCCTCTCCAGAGTGCCTGGTTACGCAGGACCCGCTGAAGGGGCATTTAATGACTCGGAGACAGTTGTTCTCTGTGGTTAGCAGCTGTGATTTCACTGGGCTCTGCGCTCATGCCCCCACAGCTGCCCCGAGCTTACCGTCTTCGTAAGTTGATGTAGCTGAGGAAGTCACTGCCCACCGGCCGGCGCTCTGGTGATGCTTTGCTAGCCTTGGCTCGTCTGAGCTCTCAATCTCCGGAGGCCCAGAGAGGGCACGGGGAGCAGAGGGCTGCCAGAGCCCCGTGTGCGTTTGATGAGTGGCCATGGGGAGGGAGCAGTGTCCCCCACCTGGTGTGTTCAGTGTGGTGCTAGAATGACCAGGTCCCAGGAGCAGCCAGTGCTGGCCCCGCCCTCCCTGTTGCCCATTTGCGTCGTCTGTCTCTGGGCTTGGGCTGGGCCCAGAGGTTTGCATTGTTTCTCTAGGGAAGGGCTGAAGCCATTGAGTCCAGCCCCTCACATTTTACAGATGAGGAAACTGAGGCCAAGCGAGGTTAAGTGACTCATTTGCTTGAGGTCTCAGCTAAACCGATAAAGTTCTTTGTGGATTTTTGGAGCTCAGATTTGATTTCCACTTGTGGGCCCTCAGAGCTTTTCCTGCTCGCCTAGGGGAGGAACCCTTGGACGATTCTGGCATGGGCGGGGGCGTAACGGGAGCAATGTGTGTGCCATCCCTCTAGGTGCGGGTCATCCCTTTGCAGTTACAACGGTTGTTTGCCCAGCTCCTTCTCTCAGACCAGCAGGCGGTGTCCACCACTGACCTCACCAACAGCTTTGGCTGGAACAACAGCGAGGTAGGTGTGTGCAGGGCGTGTGGGGCGCCAACTCAGCAGCCCGCTCTCTAGGCGCTGTAGGCGCAATGTGTGAGCAGAAGGGACGATGTCTGCACGCTGCGGGGGCTTCCTCTGATGGCGGGACGTCTTTGGCTTGTCGTTGGAACGTTATTTGGGCTTCCCAGGTTAGCCTGGGGGCACCTCCTCAGACCTTGCCTGGGTGGGTGCAGGCATGGATGCGAGGAGGGAAGGGAAGAAAGAAGAAATAACGGCCAGGCCCGGTCGGGCCAGGCCGAAGGGTCTCAGAAGGCTGGAGCCTTGACCCAGCTCTTAGAAGGTGGCCTTGAAGGCGGTAGGGGAAAGAGTGGAAGGTGGGGAAGCAGTTTGAAGCGACTTTCACAGCTCCCAGGAGCTGGGTTTGAGTTCTGTCTTGGATACATGGCAGCTGGGAGACTCGGGGCAAGGCTCTGGACCTCTCAGTGTTGCCAAGAAGGTGCCAACCTTCATTGGTCTCTGGAGAGAGCAGCAGCTGTGGCACCGGGAGCCATGGTTTCGTGTCCCGAGCTCTCTGGGTGACCTTGAGAAAGGCCCTTCCCTTCTTTGGCTTGTGTTTCCTCATCTGTGAAATGAGAGGGCTAGCCGGACAAATTCGCAGCACAAAACGTGTGGCCCTCCTTTCGGAGACACTTTGTGCTGATGGCCTGTGCACGCTTTGGGGGATTTCTGTCTTTTGAAACTGCTTATTCAGGAAGCCTAGAAAACTTTGGTACATTCTACCCATTCTACTGAGACTGAGGGAAGGGGGTGAGATGCCGGCCAGGCCTGGGATCTCCCAGATGAGGAAACTCCCTCTGCCAGTACAGATAGGCACCCTCTCTCATTCTACTTCATTGCCTTTTGTGGGGAAGAAAGCTTAATGACAGCAGCAGAGGAACTCAGAGAGGTCCTTCCCCAGAGTCCCTGGTGTGAGCTTTTCTGTCTGTGCCTCAGAGACGTGCTTGCCTTTCTTGTGTGTGCCCTCCCCCAGCCCTCTGTCCAGGCCCAGGAAGCCCCGAGGAGCCGCTGACTTTCAGTCTCTTCTCCCATGAACTAGTGGGGTGTGACCTCCACGCTCGTTCTGCCACTTTAGACTCGAGCTTTTGGCACCCTTGAGCCTCCTCTGCCTTTTGTTCTTTGCCTCCGCCAGGAAACGTTTACTTGTAAAGGCCCTTGTGCAGTGTCCTGTTTTGCTCTCTGTTGTCCTACCCATCCCAGATGACTGGTTCATTAAAACAGGTCCCCTAAGGCCCTCTCCCACATACGTTTTGTTACCAGGTGACTAGTTCATTAAAGCAGATTCCCTAAGGCCTTCTCCTGTGTGCACTTTGTTACCAGATGACAATTTCATTAAAGCAGGTCCCCTAAGGCCTGCTCCCACAT